TTTGTAGTTGTTTCGCTTCATCTTTCACTGTGTTGAACTTTTCCACGTTCATGCTTCTTACATTCCATGTTCCCGTTGTAATTCTATCTTTGCAGCTTTGGATTTTTTTTCTGGTATGGCAACATCAGCAACTAGACATTCTGAAGGCTTTAATCTAGCCTCATGAATAAACACCATTATTACTGTACTCCAAAAGATCCTCAGATCTTCCACAGTAGCATGTTGAGTGCCATCCGACCTGAGAGGCCCATCATCTGGCATTATATCGTCAATCATTTTGTATTTTCTATCCATGTGGTTTTCTTGGTAAAAATACAGGAGTAGTTTACCATTGTCTTCGCCCACATAAAATTAATTAATGCCTTTGCCATTATCTGCCTCCAGCATCTTCCTGATCGCTGCTCCCCAATACAGGTGCCTGCTTGCTTTAGCTAGGCAGTTGGGATGACCTTCATGCCTTGGGTGACCCTGCTGGTAATATATACCCTTGGCATACACTCCCGGCGTTCTTGGTTTATCCCTTCCAAGAACACTTCCCCCAACCTCTGTTACAATGAGGCAGCACACCAGGATTTGGGGAGATAATGGTTGTAGCTCCTTAAAATATGAACTTTCCTTATTATGTAGGCCCCATAGAAATACTTGCTTAGAGAGGCTAATTGCAAAACATCAGGATGGCTCATCCATATAATTTTTCCTCCACTCTTTGCTTTTTCCTTTCCATGTGTTATTAGAAGGGGAGATTATTCTCTGCAGCAATAATTAGCTTAAACTCTTCCAGCACCTCACTTTGTGTATTCATGAGTGGAATGATACGCCAGGGCAGCCCATTCCCAACTGACTTTACACTCTGGGAACACACTTAGTAACATGTGAGAGCTTCCATTTCCTTTATGCAGCTCTTGCCCAACATGCTGTCCTCTCACCTTGTACCATCTGCTGAGCACAATTTTCTGTTATTTCTGTTGTGTGGGTAGCTGCAGTTTGTATTTCCCTTGGTAGGTTTACTCCTGGGAATTCCCATCAGATAATTGACCTGGTTTTTCCATGGGCTAGTCTGTCTTCCTTTGTTCTTACCGGTATTTGGGCAACTGAAGCATCTAGCTTCTTTTCTCATGTGGTTTGCTTAAACTTTGTTCTTTATAGGACATAGCTTCTCTGGCTAATGGTACAGAATTTTCTCAGACCTGGAGAAATTCTAACTACATATATACAATAGGTATGCATTTAGGGTCCTTTCTCTCACACACTGAATATAAGACTAACTTGTATAATAAATGGCATACATTTCTTGAGATGAAGCTTCAGGTACACTGTGTATTCTTGCTATTCTCCAAAAATTTTGTATGAACTGAAAACTTTTTTCTTCAAAAACTCAAATGGTTTTAAATCCTTAGTGAAATGTGCTCCAAAAAGGTGGGGCAGTGGTCTTGCCATTGGCTGATGTTTTTGTCTATCTGTGAGAACTGAAAAGTTTCTCAGGAATGTTTCTAGCCTCCTGCCTTGGTATTCATTGAGTGCTATAGGTACTTTGGAATCTTAAAGTCAGGAAGAGGTATTTATACAAAATTTCTCTCTTGAAATAAGGAATCAAAGGAGTTTGTTACTGCTCCACTATTGTCTCATTGTGTGCAAATGAAATAATTCGTTCATCAAGAATTGTAATCAGTACTATAGTTTTAGCTTAATTTCTATTTCTTTTCTCTGCCCCTCCCTGCAACAATTTAGAGCTTGAGGTAAATATGTTATTATTTTAAAAAATACCTTGAAGTTTGCTATATTGATAAGAACTATTCTCTAAACAGTCACTGTTTGAGAGAGGGGGAAGGTAACTGAGGGGAAAAAAATAGAAGCCCCCATAATTGAATTAAGGAGAATGAGCCAATTATGCAGGAGATGCTTCAAACTCATCTCTGGTGAGCACAAAACATTGTCTGATTTCCTGCACCTGTTTGAAGGCTAAATGTTTTCTTTTCTCTCCCTATTAACAGATACTGCAATTGTAATTAAGGCACTTCTGATTTATCCCCTGCAGAGCTGAAAATACACCTGGCAGAAGAGAAAATGCCAAGTTCTTTACTATAATAACTTTTTAAAAATGTAAAATCTGGCTCACAACAAATACTCATCTCCTGTGGGTTAACATGTCCTAACAATTCTAAGTTTCACACCAGCAAGGCTGATAAAGCAGAAGTGGTTATACTGACAAAAGTGATTTCAGGAAAGGTTGACCGACTTCTTTCTGATAAAGAATTCTGTTTATATTTTCCTATGTGGGACATGCTTGAAGAATAATGCCGTGCCTTATGTTTTTCTCCTTTGGCATTCCAGATGTGGAGCAGCCATCTTAAATACAGTTTTGTTGGACTACCTACTCCTACAGATCTGTGCAGTAGAGAAGTAGATTTACACTGGAGTGTAGTCTTGTGCCCTCCAACTATTGTGGGGTTCTCATCAGTCCAAGCTATTATGGCCAGTGATCAAGGATGATGATAATGTAATTGTATCATGGGGTTCTTTTTTAGAAAGGGTTATGGCAACCAGGCAGAAATCAGGATTTTATTACGAGTGTACTGTTATACAATGATATGCAAAATATTCTGGATGTTGATGTATTATAGCCAGTGATTTCTTATTTTTGTCACCTTTAAACCTTATCCCTTTGCATTTCTAAATGTTAGTTATTTTTTCTGCCTTACTCTAACATAATTCCTTTTAGCTGGATTTCAGTTTTAACTTTGAAGCTTTTTCTGTACTTAGCAGCTTTCTTCATCCAAACCCTAAATTCTTAACTTTATTCCTCTTGTTCTCACTCTCCCTTGATTATTTATCTCTACTAATACTTTCCTATCTCTTTTAATGTTTTACAGCTTAGCTCTTAAACTTTTATTACTTTGACTCTTTACCCCCTCGCTCTTTCCCAGAGTTACTTGTTTAGCTTTTCCCAGTTTCTTCATTCAATCACTAGGACAGAGCTTGGCACTGACAATAGGATAGTGGTTGCTCTTCTTTAGTGGATGCAATGCCATTCCTGCTTCTCAGACCTCCATTCTTCTCCAAGGACTACGATGGGACCTTTCCTCTGAGTGAATACAGGCATCTCTTTTCACCTTTCTTCTTCTCCTTATCCAACCCCCCTCGTGGATTGTGCACAACTGCTTGCTGGATCCTCCTTTTTCTGGCCCCAGCAACCAGTCAACACTTTCAGTGGCCTCTGCAGAACAGACAGTTGAGAAAACAAGACTACCTCCCTTCTAATCTTCTTCTTTCCCAGGTCAGCTTGGCCTGGAACTTCTGAGGCTTTTGGTCTATTGGATTGTTGATTATACCTTTTCTATTCCTATGTTCCTACACGTACCCACATCACCAGCAGCCTCTTCTTTAAACAACACCAATCTTCCACTGCTAGTTTTCAACTGGCCCTAATAAATACTTTTCAACTATACCTCCTCACTTCTAGAAAGGTGTTCATTCATGTACCTCAGGAATGTACTTCTGCAGGAGATGCTAACAGATGGTTAATGACCTTGATAAAAGGCAGGCAGAGACTGCCCTCTGAGAAAGTGAATAACATATCACGCTTCATGTTCCATTTGGCCAAAGCATAACACTTTACACCAATATAATTTGTGCCATGTGTCTTACAAGGCAAGTATCCCATCTGCTCCCTTACCTACATGTGGAGTCATGCATAGTTAGAATGCTGATAGATAGTTTGCATCTACTGTATATTTCTTCTTCATCTGTACCCATGCTATACAGTGGAACCTCGGGTTACAAACGCTTCTGTTCACGAACTTTTTGGGTGACGACCAGCTCCAGCCGCAAAATTTTGCTTCGGTTCGCGAACTCCGCCTCTGGTTACGAACAGGATCCGCGGCCATTTTCCTGCCCGTGACACGTGGTCCGCGGCCATTTTCTCGCCCGTGACACGTGGTCCGCGGCCATTTTTCCACCCCTGACACGTGGTCCGCGGCCATTTTTCCGCCCCTGACCCGTGGCCGCGGCCATTTTTCCGCCCCTGACCCGTGGCCGCGGCCATTTTTCCGCCCCTGACCCGTGGCCGCGGCCATTTTTCCGCCCCTGACCCGTGGCCGCGGCCATTTTTCCGCCCCTGACCCGTGGCCGCGGCCATTTTTCCGCCCCTGACCCGTGGCCGCGGCCATTTTTCCGCCCCTGACCCGTGGCCGCGGCCATTTTTCCGCCCCTGACCCGTGGCCGCGGCCATTTTTCCGCCCCTGACCCGTGGCCGCGGCCATTTTTCCGCCCCTGACACGTGGTCGTAGGGAGGGGGACTCTCCCTCCAAGCAATAGCCGCCTCCCTGTCCTCCACGCCAGAATGGATTAACGGTAATTACATTGAACCGTATGGGAAAATTTGCTTCGGGTCGCGACCAATTCGTGTTGCGACCAGAGTCACGGAACAAATTAAGTTCGTAAACCGAGGTTCCACTGTATTATCATTTTACAGTTACTGTGATGCTTTGAATATCTGTCCCAACGTTTAAAATAGGTTGGTTCCATAGAAGGAATCACCTTGTGCTGGATTTGCTGTTTTGTGGAATCAGAATGATTGTTAAGTTTAAAGTCTAATGGTTTATGTCGTGATACAGACCCCTAACTGTGATGCTGGTGTGCAGTAGTAATTCCAACATCTAATCTTGTGCCCTTATGTGAACTGTAAAAGTTGTAGGCTTAAAAGGATAGAACAATTGAACTCATATAAATTTTGTGGTCCCAACCTTCTATCTTTGGAAGTTATCATTAATGTCATTATTGGACTCTGTTTTGAATAGTTTCCACCTTAACCAATAATGCAATAATGCATCCAGAGAATGTCTGTTATAATTCCCAGGATAGTGGAAAATTGTAGACGTATAGACCATGTAAGAACTGCTGCTATTCTGCATGATTTATATAAATCAAAGATTTGAATAGGATAATCTGTCTTCCAAGCCAGCTGCTGGATTAGTAACCACTGCTTTCTTTCTCTGTTTCAGAGGGTTTGGCTGTTGGTGTTGGATTTGGTGCTGTTGGGAAGTCACCGTCTGCAACTTTTGAAAGTGCAAGGTAATTTGTGTGATTTTAAGATATATACTGGTAGAATTTCATTTCTGTGGTTGATAAGTCTGTACCAAAATAGTAAATAGTTTCACATATATGTGGATTTTGGAGTGTGGTTTTGATCTGTCTGCTATTTTGCACATATACAGAACTGCATACCTGCTCTCCACTCCCATCAATTTCCCAGTGTTTCCAGATCAGCGTTCTGATCTTTTTTGAGTATTCTCTTCCTGTATCCTTCCCAGGAAACTATGCAAGTACACATAATTTTTATTTCTATATTCTCTGTTTGGAATAAAATAGGGAGAAAGTACGATCTGAAATGGCCAAAGAACAGTATCGTTGTTTCTGCTTTTTCCTTACTTATTTGATTATATTTTTTTCAGTCATTTTCTGGTGTTTTAGAATCTAGCTCCTCAATTCCCCTAGCTTCAAGTTCTCGTTATCTGCAACTTCATTATCCATGGTTGTATGCTGGAGTGTAATCCCCACAAATAAGGTCAACCTGTACTTTATGACTTCATTTTTTTGCACAAACTTTCATTCCCTCCTGTTATTTTCAACAGCTAGATTAATGTGGAGTCTAATTTCTTAAGACAATGGACACAGGAAACAGCAACTGATAATCCCACCTTGTTAAACTAGCCTTAACATTGTAATGCATATCTGAAGTCCAGTTCTGAAAGACTGGAGGATTGCAGTAATTCACATCCTACTGCCTCTTACATCTTAATGAGATTAATATGGATGATACTGCTAGTAATGACATTGAAGTTATGGACAGTATAGGAGAAGAGTGGGTGGTAAAACTGTTAAGAATAGCAGGGCTGGCAATACCACTGTTCTCATCATCCATTCTTTTTCTCTCTCCAATTACTCCAAAGTAATAGGTAACAACTTTACGTGAATCCTGGCTGTGCTAGGAATGTTTACTGCCAGTGGTCTCCATCTGTCTTTGTCTTCTAGGCATTCAGGGTTTCATCTAATATTTATCATGAAAAGCTGCTCTGGCTTCCTCAATACTAGGCAGAGTAAAATCAAGCTTGAAATAATCAATACAAAAATAACAGTGTAACAAAGCTGAGTTCACTTGATTGTGGCAAGAGAGCATAGTTTTAAATGTAAAAAGTGTCTACACAGAAACATATCTTGCTTTGCTTTACCATTTCACTAAATATAGTTTCGTATATATGTAGTCAGGCTGTTCTGTCCAAAATGTAAGGTTTACCCGTTCGTCTCAGAGAAACTCTCATGACACATGTGTTCAGCAAAGAAGTGTACTCAAGTGTAATGTAAGTAAGTACAGACAAAGTCAGGATTGGCTTGGCATAGCTTACATGGTATTTTATAGCTTCCCTGTTCCCGCGTTTACCCATTGCTTAGTTACAGATTACCCACAGTAATCCCCCCTTGCCCAAATGGCAGATTCAGTCCAG